GACGCAAATAAGTTCATAATAGAGAAGAGAACGAGAGAATCTACTGGAATACTGAAATTTTGAATTACGAGGTCCTTTTCAAACTTTTCCGTCTAAGATTGGACGAGTTTATGAAGACGATTAGCTTCAGGACCGCGTTAGAGCCTTGGCGAATCCCTGACTCAACCACTTGACTTTTGACCCTACGATGCCTCACCTTACCTTTTCGAATGTCTTTTTTCCTACAAAATCTTTTTATTACAAACTGGGCCTCTAAACAAAATTGAAAGGAGGCAATAATTTAATGAAAAAGGAAAATAATCGTTGCCTTAGCCAAATCTAATTACTTCGAGCCAGGCAAAACGAAAGGAGCAGAATGTCAGAAAAATCGGAGCAACCATAAACCCACTGTTAACTGACGTCAAATGCCAAAATATTCGGGATTTCCTGCACCGGGTGCAAGTATTCCACATGATCATATGGGAAAGAGCACTATTGATCGGTATGTACCCAAAACAAATGTTCATTGATTCCCGATCGTGAATTGTTCGTTCGGTTTTTTTTGGTGATCGTTGCGTTCGGTGATGAAAAGCCGTTCCTTATCGGTGACACGTCTTGTTCAGTGTTGGCTTGTGATATTCGTCTAGCTGTGGTGATAATAGCACATTCATTTCATCAGCCAATCTCTACCATTTCATAGCAGGCTCTCGAAAAATTATTTTTCCTCATTCATACAATTCCTTTTCTTTTTTTTTTTTGCTTATCTGTTTTTTTATTCATCAGTTTTATATAAACGCGAATGGTCAGCTTTTGAAAAAACGTCCAAAACGAGGTATTTTGGGCAGTGATGAGGGGCTGTCCGTTTTTAGAAATGAGGGCAAATGGTCCCATTCTCCAAAATGCTTATACTTTATAAGGGGAAGAAAGAGCTTTTGGCTCTTATCAAACCTGTTGTAATGCGATATGAATTCAACGCTAATTTTAAAATAGTTGGAATATGATAATGCGTAATTGTTACTCACTCAATTCTTTAAAGCCCGAATTT